AGAAATTGAACAGGTGTTCCTAATAATCCTTTAGGTGAGTGTATATTGGGTGTCCAAATATAACTGGGTGGCCGGTTTTCTGACATCAGCACATATACAGTTTGCAGCAACACGCTACAGATGGGGTATTTTCACATACAATATAGGGACAAAAGGATCAGGACACCAGCTTCTCCATCTCACTCTGAATCAAAGGATATTAATATGAAGCTGACTGACCCTGAGTTGCTATAATAGCCTGTACTCTTCTGGGAAGGCCTTCCATTAGATGCTGGAACATTGCTGGTGGGATCTGCTGCCATTCAGGTTGGGTGTTGATGCTTGTGTGGCCCCCACCTGGCAGCGGAACTTGCTCCCAGATGATTCCACTTCACTTGCCGTTGACCAAGGCAGATCTAGCAGGACAGACATGTGGGGAACCGGCTTGCTGGAAAGATGTGCATTGGTGTCCAGTGACGGTGCTGGGCTGACATACCTCTCCTGTATGACCCCCCCCCCATTCTGCTGCTATTGATGCTGGAGGTCGCATGGCTGTGTGCTGTGTGCACTGGTGACCAGTATGTCACCAGTGAGTGTGGCTTATGCGGCCCATTCCTGTAATTACCATGGGTGGCCCAATACTTTTGCCCATACGTGCCAGGAGGTCTCACACAAAGAGATTCTGTCCCTCCATTTTTCCATTGCACATCATCTGCCTTTATAAATACAATGCTATGATGATTGTGAGCTAACCTCACAAACCCGCACTTCAGTTCCCCGAACATGCAAGTTAATCTCTTGAAACTTTCTCACTGGAGCGTACAGGAGAGAAGCCAGCCCTGCGCCCGGGGGCCTGGTTTGGCTGAGTATTACCCAGGCAGGACGGCTCAGGCAGGGAGGGGCAGGACACACCCGTGCCGAGAGGCACTGCCGCCCCTCTCCTCCCCTCCGCGCTCTGTCACGTCGAGTGTCGCACTCATACATTACGTGCTCACTCACGACAGCCTGCGACTCGCTTCCATATTTCCAAACAGCTGTGACACATGAGGGGGGGCGGGAGAGCCCCGGCAGGCGGCCAAGCGCGGACTCTCCCCCTCCCGGCCCCCGGCCCTCACAACCACCTCCCCCGATACTGAAAGCAGTGAAGACGGATAAACGTGCTATGGCAGTCACACACCGCGTAACGACGTTTCAGTCCGCAATGGACCGCACAAACAACGCCAGTCCCCTAAGATCACACCAGATCGGAAAAATTCAAATTACCTAGTGACGCTGTAGTGCGATGAATTACTCAAATGTTTGTGGTGATGCTGGTGTAAACAAACCTACTGCACTGCTAGTCAAACAACAGTATAGCACATACAATTATGTACCAGTACGTAACTGATAACTACGTTACTGGCTTATGCATTTACTATACTGTACTTTTTAAATCATTAGATTGTACACTTCATATATATATATATATTTTTTTTTTAAGTATTGCAGCCTAGGTGCGTAGTAGGCTGAGCGTTTTCTCAGAACGTATTCCTATCGTTAAGCGACGCAGAATTGTATAGTATTTTGATCATGTGATTGCTACCCATATGGCTGGCAATACTACTAATAGATATTATATAAATCAAAATGGAGATACGGAGGTGAATACTCAAAATAAAATTTTGAAAATCCACTGATGTTAGGACATTATACATCTCGCCACATCCACACTGAACTGACGAGGGCATTAAATGAACAATGAATTGTAGACCATAGATTACCTGCAGTATTAACGGATCAACTGACTGAACATTAGCTGTGAAAATAGAAAGTGTTTATTTACATACAGCTTTCAGCAGGTGACATGCCTCTGCAGTATACTGAAGGAACTAGTGAAGGCACAGGGCCGGACAGCCGCCTTAGCCTGGGCACGACAAGCGCTCAGATAATACATTTTTAATGATTGTCTGTATTTTAAGTCATAAAACATCTCAGCACGCAGAGGATCCTCTCCTGAAGTTCAAACATCTCCCGCTCTGCTCTCTCTCCGTCACACAAATCCTCAGTGCAAACACAAAGCCCGCACTGTGACACGTTCTCCATCCTGAGAGGCGGGCGGGCCTGGCAGCTCCCCTGCGTAACCCCCCCCCCGCGCAGGCTGCCGCTCAAATGTCACTCCACGCTTCCCGAAAAAAGAAAAAAAAAAAACAAGAATGTCACAGTTGCCTGGGAACAATATGTTCAGTTGGTGCAAGACTTGGCTTAATTTTAGGCCACATCTGCCATATGTGCAAAGACCAGCGCTGCCAGCTTCAGCTCTGCCGGGGGGGGGAGCTGTCCTCTTAACCCCCCCCCCCCTTCACCCAGAGTATTTACACCCAGAGTTTTGCTAACTGTTAACATTGTATACAATCACCTGTCTGCTTGCTGGGGTGTATTACAAATAAAGAACTTATACGACACACCCCAAATATACACCTGCACCATTATTCAAAGACATCGAGCAATTAAAAAAGGCCTTTCACCAAAATGTTAAATGTATTTAAACTGATCACCCTTTATTTTATTATAGAAATGTAATCATTTCCTTCCTGCCCCATGTCTAGGGAAAGAGGCTTAGGGAAGACGTTATATTCTGCACATTAAAAACTAAACATGAAAGGGTATAAAACAGCACGTCATAGGACAGCTAAGCAAAGTCAGCATTTCTCTGAACTACTCAGCCATTCAATTGTGGAAAGAATTTTAAGATTTTGCCGCCATCTAGCGTCCACTAGATGTATAACACCAAAATGTTAAAGGATAATTGCAGCGCAAGTAAAATTCGACTTTACCAATGTCGTCTTCAGCGTTTCTTAAAGCGATTGTTCGTAACAATTTTCCAAAGCTATAATTAAAATCAGTAAGACGTAGATTTGCCAAATATAGCAAATGGTTTTACTAATAAAAAAGTGCAGTAAACATGGCAATAAAAATGAAAGCAGAATCATTGTATATGAATTTTATTCCCTCCCCCCAGCATATCTGTAGTACAAGTGAAAAAATTAAAAATAAAAATATGTATAGCTGTGACTCTCTAGCAGTAACTAAATGTTCCTAATACATACAGCTGTCCAGCCTGTAAGCCTAACCCCATGACGAGCCTGGGACCGTATTAAAATGTGCCAAAGTAAACCATTTTTCACATTGCAGATTTTATATCTTCCCATGATCAAAATAAATAAGTTAAAAACTAAACACTGGGGTCTGTCAGAGAATATTCCTTTTTGGGGCATATTTACAGTATGTTTGCACGGGCTTAACCGAAAGAGAGTCACAGCGCTTGGTTATTCTATGTCTTCGGGTCTGACCGGGTGCGGCAGGGGGACGATGGACTTCTTCTCCGTGTCTCTTGACAGTGCCTTCCTCATATCTGCGGAGACAAACCAGCGATGAACACAACAGACGGACCCGGCTCACGCGGAAAACGACGCGGCGATTGCTACAGTCAGGCGGACGCAATCCGCCAGGTCGGGCCAAAGCTACCGATTCAGATCAAGCCATACACTCACACAAACAGACAACAGGATAGGCAGCGGGAACTATAGAAACGGTAGTCATGGAGATGCTACCAGGAGGCAGCGTTATGCTGAGCTAGGGAAAGTGGGTGTGTGGCGGTAAAGAAGCTCACCATACGCATCCTCATCGGGCTCCCCGCTGCTGGCAGAATAGTATTCAATGACAGTCCTATAGACACTGTAGCCCAGCTGTTTATACATGTTCACCGCCACTTGGTTGGAGACCCGGACGAACAAATCCACAAAGAAGCCTCCTTTCCTGAAAGACGGGCAACCGACAAAGACATCATTAAGGCCAGCACAAGAGGAGTGGGTTCTGTGGTGACAGAAGACAGCAACTTCCTAGCTCAATGGGCCTCTAGCATCTTTTACCAAGAGTTTTGAGGCAAACTGATCCCCTAAAATGAAAGACATTGTCTAAATGGATGAAGCGTAAAATTACAAATCATTTTGGACAAAATCGTCAACCAAAAAGCTGAAGAACAATGCAGGACAAACACTGGAGAATTAGGAGGCCACGTTCGGCATGAACGTCGACCACGCCACACCTCTCTGAGATCTCCTCCAGCAGCTCCATCAGCTTAGCAGCCAGTCCAAGGCGCCGGAACTCAGGGGCCACAGACAGCGCGGTCACATGTCCGTGCCACTCCTCCCGAGCCACCGAGCCCTCGGCCTTGCCCATGACTGAGCGGGGAACACACAGCATTTAAGAGCAGGGACTTTTCAAATGGCACAGTTCAAGAAACACATAGTGGATTCAAAAAGGGGTCCAAATTTAATGACAGTTCTCAGGTAAACAATCCAAACTGATTACGCATTTATGCAGGTAAATAAGCAGTGAGACCATATCCTTTTCATTTGGAAAAAACACCCAGCAATTAGTGTCATAATCAGTTACGACTATACCAAAATACCCTTAGTAAACAAAAAAACTCCTGAACTTTGCATATTTCACTCAAGCAACAAGTACATTTCCTCACACAACACTTACTGTAGCCCATTAATTCACCTCCCGGTGCCTCAGCCACAATAAAGTACTCCGGCCAGTGAGCAAGGTACTGTAGGTAGAACGGGATGCCATACTAGGTGGCGACTGTAAAGGAGTCAAACGTTTATCAACGCCGTTTCTTCCAAGGCTGTTGTCAATGTGTGCGGGACTTTATTCAGATACACGGGACCAGGCAAAGTACCTGTCCGAAGAGCAAATCACGCGTGGAAACGTAAGTTTCACTACATTGAAAGGATACAGTTTCCGTCAGTGGGTCCAGATTACTGCCAAATACAAAAAAAAAAAATGCACGAATAAACACATTAATTTCCTGTCATTTTGATCCCTATTAAATGGCACCACAGAAATAGCTTTTCGCACCATAAATCCCAAACATACATAGAAAGGTCAACGCCGGCAACTCATGCATCACCATTAACTTTGCAGAAAAAAAAGTTAAATTACGTAACAAACAATATATAATAGAATCTCATTTGATATGAAGGCACACGTAACAGACTAGTTAACGCAATAAAAGACGTGCACTTACATGAAGACAGAACTCAACACGGATTAGAGCAAACGTTCATTTAGCTTTTTAGCTAAACTGCCGGTGGACAAGCAATGTCCCTAGCTGACTCTCGTTCCTGAAACGCCAGCAGCTAGCGACAACTGAATCACAGAAACAAACAAAAAAGCTGTACTCACATATTGTTAAATTTGAACAAATCGTCGCAAGTGAATGCTCGGAGAGTAGTCATTTTTACCCCGCGTTACCACGCAGGAAGAGAATATCGTGACCTTTTACCTTTGAACCCGACTTCCGGTTACGCGGTGGTCAAACGATCGCGTGCCCCGCAGTTTCCGGTCTTTTCAATTATAGCTATAATGTGCTTTTTTTTTAAACTGTCGTCTCAGAATAAGTATCGTAATGTTTGTCGCTAGCCAAGCGTAACGAGGCATAATAGAAATGTATTTTTGTTTGCGTAAAAAAAACCGGCTCAGTAGCAAAACAGTGTGAAAGCACTTCAGAAGTTTAACAGGGGGTGGCGCATTTGTTAATACTGTATTTGGATTATCAAAAAGAGGTCTTGAATTACTCATAGTTTGGAAGTCATTCAGTGAGTATAGCGCGACACACATAGAGGCAGTTAAGAGATACTGTTTAGTCTTACTGCCTCTCTGGACAGTAAGAGATAACCACAAAGCAAAACCCCGTACAGGATAAGCAGTTGGACGATGGATAAATATTATGATCAGCCTTCTCAATATAGGAATGTAATACTGACCTCTAGTGGTCATGTGTATACAACCCATTCTGTTGTATATAAATTAGGTCATTCAAGCTCGTTTGTTAGCAATATATTGATAACGAAATTCCTTCAGGCCCCTTCAAAACCCTTATTTGCTTGGGCTTTTTTTCACTACATTAAACCCCAACGTCATGGTTGAGTTATGCAGTATTCCCTTACTGGTGGTCTGAGGCATAGGAACTGGGGAGGGTATGTACCCCCCAATATTTCATTTGGCTCCATTCATCCCCCCAAAAATAAACCTTTGTCCCCCCCCCCCACATACACACACACACACACACCTTTGTACACTTTCATTGTAAACTTAACCGTAATCCTTAGTGAAGGGCATTGGATGTGTAGTTAATTTGTTAACATTACTGTGGATGTGAAAAAATATATATTGGAAATTCTAGATGTATTAAAACGATTGAAAATGATTGAGATTGGGTTGGGATTATATTTTTGGAAAGTTCTGGGAATCTCTGGAAAGTTTCCAAATGGCTGACATACCAGTCCACCTGGGAGCTGTTAAGGTTTTGGTAAACATGTCTGCCTTTCATTTCAGATCTTGCCTTCCTAGTTGAAGTGCCCCAGTAAGTCACAACCATCTTATGTTGAATCTAAAAAAAAGGATTTACTTTTTATATCAGAGTCTGTATACAAGCTATTGGAACAAACCTGCTCATGAATCACTACCCCAAAATAAGGCTCCTTTTTGAAGTAAGATATGAGGAAATGAAGAAATAAGCTGTCTGACATGTGTTCCACTGAATCTGGAGAGGAACACAAGCAAGCAGTGCTAAAGAGCAGCCTCACTCAGCAGTTTCCTGTTTGTTTGCTGCTCCACGGGGAATGGTGACTATGAAGCCTGTCACAGCAGACACCTGTGCTAGGATGATGTGTGACAGTGAAATGACAGCTGAAATAGGAGCACTGTGACTTCAGGCTGGCCTATCGATCGCCCCAAAAAAGTGAGACGTCTACACCTTGGTTTGTGTAACACTACTGGAGTGTTGCACCAGTACCGTGTTACACTCATATAGACATTGAAAAATAAATCATGTTACAGAACATGGGGGTAGCCTTGTTTGCTTGTGCTGATGTCTGCTTCGTCTACATTTCCAAGATAAGACAGGATCAAATAAGATAACAAACGATATAGCATGATGTATTAAGATATGTTACGATAAGGTACAACTTTTATTCCCCAGGGGAAATTCTTGTGCATACAGCAGCAAGGCGCATTAGGTGCAGCTGAACAAATATATGGTGCAAAACAAGACGACATGCAAAGGCAGCTCACAAAGTGTAAACAAATTAAAAATGTACACAGCAAAAAATAATTAAAAAAAATAAACGTACACAGTAAATAAACAATATCATGATTCACACGGTTTGAATGAGTAGTGAAAGGTATGAAGACAGAGACCTACAGCGTTGTGAGAGTGGCTGATCGACGGATATTCTGTTTGTGCCTGTTTTTGCCGTCCTTCATAAACTTAAAAATAGCTGTGATGAGCCCCGTGCTCAGCCATTCTTTATATACTGCAGACATAACCTTAGTATACGGATCAGCGTTATGCATTACACCAGGGTCGTTGCTGGTTAACTGTTGTATACTGTGGAGTGTAGGGAAGCCCCAGGTGACTCAGAATCAGCCTCACCTCCCACATACAGATAATTTACCACCCTCTCAGTACATGTCCCTTGGCCCCCCTTAAATCTAAAACACTGCACAAATGCCCTGAGGATTTCTATGAAGATTTACTCATTTGAAGAGGTAGTAATTCTACCTCAGAATGGAATGTCTCCCCAATCCAAGAATAAAGCCTTCTTTCCCCAAACATGTGGATGAATATAGCAAAGCAACAATTGAGGCATTCATTGTGCATTAACCAGATAGACACCTGTTCACCAGACACACGCATAGAAAGCCTGCGAAAACAACATGACAGTAAATTATTGAAGTCAGCACTCAAGACTATTAATAACACTAAGCACTCTGTAGAGGCTACTATTAAACAGCCAGGAGCTGTTATCGGTAACATTAATTTAAGTTTAACAATAAAGTATAAAAGATCAACAAATACTACATGGGCTGTGAAATACAGTTTCAGTGAATAACTCACATAAAGAAATGATTTAAATCATTAACCTGCACCACTCCCCTTTGAATATTTTTGGTTCTGCCTGGGGGGGAATATCTTTTACTCCAAACACTGTCAACTTACAAAATATCTTTTTGAACCCACTGCCGCTGATATGCAGACCCCTAGGGGGCACTAGACACCAGGTTGACAATTCCTGCCCTACGGTATTACATGGACACTGCAATAAAATTTAAGAATGATGCTGAGAGTGCAGGAGAAATTAAAATAAAAATAAAAAAAACGAGGAAGAAGGTCATAATAGCCATCCATCAAATTTGACACCCACCTTTAAAAGTGCTTTGACTCCGGAAAAAAAAACAATTATCAAAATGTAAAAAGCATTACTGTATGATGCTTTCAGTTCTACTTTCAGATGTTTCCTTCCCGGTTTGTCCTGTTTTGAGGTTTTATCTGGGAAGCAGGAATGACGTATTTTCTCCTGAGCTCCATGACATGGGAGGACTGCAGCTTCTACTGCAGCAGGAACAGCATGATCAGAAGCCAAGGGTATAGGAGGACTTTCTGGAGACTTAGATGTGAGGGAACATCCAGCAAGTGGCTGGGAGACCTCCCACACCCGGAGAAACACAAACACATAACTGCAGATGTCTTGTGTTTATACTCTGATGCTCTAATCCCAGTAAGTATTAGTGTCACTGAACCAGAATGCATCCCTGTCTCAGCTTCTGTCACATTGGGAGGGTAGGGCTTGTGGCTTGACTTGACAGGAACAGGGTAAAGGTTTCCCAGACTGCCCCAGGTCATCGCGGGTCAGGGTCTCAGCACAGAAGCAGAATTGTAAAATCATTCTGGGCCTGTCAGGCATCATGACCAGAGTGGTGATCAAACCTACAGCATACAGACATCAAAGTGGATTTCTGTACGTCTGCTTTCAATTCATTAAAGGCCATGCAAGTCTCAACCGGAAAATTGATAGCTTTTTGGAAACCCTAAGTGTTTTGGCACAATTTTTTTTGTTAGGCAACAGATAAAGCCAAAGTAAACAAGCTTTAAATGAGGACTGGGATCTTACAGACTTCATGGAGACTATGCAAATAGATGTAAGAAGTGAATAAGGAGAATGATACTGCGACATTTGTGGTGTCTTTCATCACTTTTTTAATAAACACTCACAAAAAGTAACTTTTTCATCTTCATTAAAGGTGGCTTGTAGTTTGATGGAGTTTGGGAGCAGTGATTAATTGAAGGCTTCGCCGGGAATTTAACGCGCACGCTATACGTGAGTACGGGACTGCTGTGGTGATCTGACCCACCAGACACAAAGTTTAAATCATGATGTGGTGTGGAGAAAAAAAAAGCAACGAATAGATGCGTACAGATGTTGTTGTGCCGAGAATGACTATTGTGTGCAAAAGATCAGGGCAATCACAGAACATCAGCAGGCAAACGGTTTCAGATGTGATATGGCATGTCACTGTAGACAAATATGTACGCGGCCTTTTCTTGGGGTCTTTTAGGTTTAGGGGCCCCCTGCTGGCCACAAACAGTCACTACACTAAATAAATGGAGTCCGTGAAGTGGCATGTTCTACTAACCGGCTAGCTAGCTATACTCTTCTGGCTCTACTCGCTACCTATTTATCTAGCTTTTGAAACATCTGAGGGGCAGTGGGGGACCTCCTAAGTGACTACGAAGCGAGCAGGCCCCCAGAAACATCAAACCCGCCGCGGACTCTAAGTCATGTGACATCGTAGGGAGTCGTGCAGCTACCCGGCACTGACGGGGCCACCACCTGTCAGCTGTGCTCTGGGACTCAATCTCAGCACTCTGTCGGGGAGCCACACGCCCCTCGTGCCATGACTGATCGACTCCAGACGAAAACATTCGACCACCGTCTGATGCAGCTCTCGCCGCAGATGTTTCGGGGACAGTGAGATGTGCCGGACTGTTGTTCTGCATTTTATGATGAATGGTGCGGCCTTATTTGCTTTCCTGCTGCCTTTGGAACAGGATGAAACGTGTGGGATAGGCCACTGGTCACCGGCCGGCCTCCTAGCGTGTGTTTTTCATTCTGCAAAGAGTGTATCACGGATTACAAACATAACCACGGTAAGGCTTGTTTTTTGTCAAATAATTATGGTTTACATGTTTTTCTCTTAAGCCCCACATGTGGTGATAGCTTTGGAGTGGGCATTGTGTAGCTCAGCAGTTTCAGGGCTCTGTGCGTGTATCCAGAAGGTCGTGAGATTGAATCACAACAAGAGAGTAGTCATATCACAATTGGGCCCTTCAGCAACACCAACCACTCTAAGTTTGCTGGCTGACCCTGTTGTCTGACTCCGAGCTTTACTACTTTGGACAAAAGCCTCGGCTGAATGACTGGGCTGCTGCTGTGGGCCGGACACCAGCACCTACTTACATGATTCCCAGAT